TAGTCCTTTAAATTAAGGTAAAATTTTTTACATTCCTGCCCGATAGGACGACACTGATAGGCTGTTTTAGATAGTTTTTGAAAGAAAAGTGATAGAGACATGCAGTCTTCATATGATTATCAGATGGCAAGCTTTTTCTTGCGGAGTCATAATTCATACCAGTGCGTCTGATAATTTCAAAACTGATATAGCATAGGCTCCCAACTATGCTACGGCGTCGTCTCGTGCCTTCTGTTTAAAAAAATGTTTCTTTTTGAAAACTATATCCTGAGATTTTAATAATAAATTGACCAAGATTTGTGGATTGAGATCACCTACCATCTTTTGATTTAGTAGGTTAAATAAAACAACATATTCATTTTTTACTATATTTTTTGACTCAATGCAAAATGTGTTTCTAGAAAAAATACAAAAGAAAATGGTCAAAATAGCGTATAAAAATTATTACTAGCACATAAAAGTTTGCAAAGGATGTTTGGAAACAAAAACATCAGCGAAAAAAAAGTAAGAAGCAACCTATTCTTGCCAATAGAAAACTAGCGGTTAACAATTTCAAGACAGATACACTCTTCAGTATAATAGAGGGTATGTTAATGTTATCAACCAAAAACAATGTATTAAACTTGAAGAGCCAACTGAAATTAATGCATACGCATTAGTTAAACCAGTGAGCGCATATCGATTACAACCATCACCCTGACAGCACTCAACACATGCCCAGTTGTCATAAGCATTTCTCGTACATATCGGTGCCATACCGTATAACACTGTAAGAACATAAATGTTTAATTGTAAGCGCAAGTTTTGACGTAAAGTCTCTGTCGAAAACAAAATCCTCAGCCGAAACTTCCCTAAGAGTTTTCAGGGAATTGAAAAATTTTCCTGCTCAAAAAAAATTCTCGAGGCATTTTTTGGGGAAGTAGCATGTAAAATTCATGAAAACATCACTTATCATAATTGTAAGGTGAATTTGATATACATATGTATTCTATTTCCTATAGAAAATGACAGAAATCTAACGACGAACTTTTTTTTATTATTTTGCTTCCGTTTTAATCAAAAATAAAGTATTATTATCTTTTCAGCAGTATGATGTAAATGCAATCAAAGTTCCTTCTCCGAGTTTATTCGTGGCCGAAAGGATTCATGCAATGTGTGATTCGATCTCACTATCGTATGTTTGACAAGCCAGTACCTTACGGCACCTTTTAGCACCCTGATCAACACTAGGTTTTTCTCTTTTGACAGAAACACAGACTTACACTTTACACAAGAATCTCTGGTGGAACATCTTTTTGTTATGTAAGTTCTTAGTTGTCCATTTGATGCCCAGTCATTTGCTACTACAAAACAACAAAAGTGGAACTAAATCGAACGTTAGAGTTTTCCATAATAATTTATATAGTTGTTTCGACCTAAGATAAAATGTAGAAAAATGTAAAAGTTTGGCTAAAAGTGACTTTCATCATCACGCAGAAATTAATTAGTAATGCTGAACTATAAACGGATTGTGAAATGTGTAATAGTAATACCCGTTCTCGATATGAATGTTGAACAGGTGTCTTGATGTTTTTCACACATCTGAACTGCCCTGATACATTTATCGCTGTCTTCTTGTTGTTCGCATACATAACACTGTAAGCAAGCGCCTAAGCATAAAGTATTAAATTTTGGAAAAAAAATTGAAAATAAGAATTCCTCAAATAGATTTACCCCAGTGGATACAGATCAAAATGAATACAGATAATGATAACAAACATTTAGCCATTTGAGAAGTGTTCTAAAACAAGAAAACCAAGAACATTTATCTGACGACAGAATTAAAAGTGGTAAACTGTTCCATTCGGCTTAGTTATCACATATAGCGTTATCATATCACATGAGATTGTCTACTGGAGAGAAGAAGTGGTGCTATTCAGTGCTCTTATAAAAAAAAAGTCAACAGCTTTCCTTCTTCAACTCTTCTAGTGTTCGCTAAATTCTCTTTACAGATTAGAGGATAGTGACTGTCAAATTCAAGAGTTTTCTCTCAACACACAATGCGCAATCACGTCATATTTAGGTGGAAAAACGAAAGTGAGATTTTTCGAGATTTGAATAGCATATCATATACTTGGCATACGCTCTATAACTTTGCCATTGCAAGTTTTTTTCTAGGTGTCATTTCTAGCGGGAAAAGCGACGATGAAATATTTTAGAAAAACAGAGCGGTTAAGATAGAAAATGATTTTGCGACAAACAATAGATGATATTTATTAAAATTTTACATAGTGTAAAACTAGGCATTTCGCTCTATCCATTCGTAAAAAAACTTCTGTTTTGGCTTTTCCATGACCGAGAAAATTAGCTTTCTTTTTTTGCTACGTGTTTTCCGAAAATGTGTGCTTAGTGTAATCGGTTTCCGATTTTTCCGACGCTTCAAATTCAACGAATTTTTTACCGAAGGTAGTCATACTACCAATACATATATACTGATAGCGCAAACTAGCGCAAACGCTCCTGGACCGAGTTACAGATTTTCATCCGGATTATCTCAGTTCAGGAACATTGAAATTAAAAACCAATAATATATCTGGAATCAGCGCGAAAAGCTGCGTTGAATGGTGTATAACTCAGCCGTAACTTTTGAATTTAGTTGATTCCTTTGTTTCTTGCATGTGCGTATAGAGATTTGTGACTGAAATCTTCAAATTTGAAACTGTTAAGAGATGAAATCGTCTAACTACTATTTCTATAGGTTATCAATGATTCTGTATCCAATTCAATTGCCTTTGAGTTTTTAAAGGTTTTTGACGTGGTTTTCTAGAGACCGAATCTCTGGAAAACCACATAGAAAACCTCGTTAGAACTCGAAAAGTATTATATTAGATAGAGCACACAAGATAATCTATAAACAACGCACTTTTAAGTTTTCCTCTAGCTTGCAGGTCAAAAGACCATGTGCCTAGTGAAAATTGCCCACTATGCACAGTGGGCATTTTTTGCTAGAGCAGGCGGACTATAGCTTTATGAGTGAACTAAAATTTCATGAACCATTTTTTTAGGTTTTTCATGATCCTCTTTCTAATGGCATGAGAGCTGGGTTTTGAAAAAGTTTTCTAAGGAGCTTTTCAGAGATCCGATCTCTGGAAAACCCTTCAGAAAACTTTCTCAATATTTAAAAACAATGCCACTGGAAAGAGCATTGTCGAAAACCTATAAGAAACATGTTTCGAGTCGTTCAGGTACTTTATCTTGAAATTCAAATTTTCAGCACGAAATTGTTTGTGTGAATCTCAAAAACTAAGAAATTTCTAGAATTCAAAATCAAGCGACCGAAACTAGATGAGTTATACACCATTCAATGCAGTTTTTCACGCTGATTCTGAATATGGTATTATTTTTGAATAAAGGTGCTTTCGTGGTCAGAAAAACCTCGAAATACCGTAAAATCCGTATGGGTTTTGAAAAATCCATCATTCGGCCTTCAAAAATATGTGAGATTTTGTGAGATCAGTATAAGTAGAGTATTGTCTGAGGAGCATGTTGACATAGTTAGATGTTATTTTCCAGTGGGGCTAACCGGGGCGTTAAGACTATAGTGAGTTAGTCTCAACGGAAATGCCATTCTGAGAAATCCGTGTGCTGTTTTTCACTGGTTAAATGTTAAATTACCTAATATTTGCTTTACATATATATCTTTGTTTTTATCGCTTTTGAATACGTTTACATCTACATTTCGCACAATGAATAGCAATTTATCTTTGCAATATGCTCAGCATTCAAAATAATGAACTTTCTAACCGAAATGGACTGGATCACTTTGTTCTGGATCCCAAAGTGGACAAGTCTCAAATAAGTGCTTCCTCTTTTACTTGTGCGTTGTTTAGCACTTTCGTATTATGGAAGTTGATAAACCATTTGTATAATCATTAGACAAATAGACAGCAGCTATTGTGTCTCTATGTGCTGATTCATAAGAAGAACAAGACCAGTAAGATCAGTCACAATGGCGAAATCAGTGCAGATGAAAAGAAAACAAAGTGGAGATTTGAGAAAATAAAGTAGTTCTTTTCATTTCAAAATTGTAAAACCGAGTGGAATTGTATTTTCAAAGTGAAACATGCCTTTACTCTCATAGGGACCACCAATCATTAGAAATTCTGCCCTAGACATCGATTCGTGTAAGAATATTGTAGGAAACTGATAAGTTTCCTGCAAGAAACTAATAAGACTCTTATAAAAATCTTATCAGTTTCTTACATACGATTGTCTAAGATTTCTCATCGACAGTGGTACGTCTCTTATAAGAATTCGATAAGATCATCTACAAATTCTTATGACTTTCTTATCAGGTTCTTACGATATACAAAATAGTTCTCTTTCTATTTATTTTATTTTTCTATCACAACATCATAGTCTTTAGGCTATCCCAAGTAGACAGTCTAAAGACGAGTAAACTAATCGAGATATCATCATTAGATGTGTAGAATTTACTAGAATTAATAAAAATTAAATGACTAGAGGCATCAAATTAGTAGAAGTATGCACGTTGGAATAGTAAAAGTAACACCAATCAGTGTATTTGAAATTTGTAACGGTCTGAACTGGCTGCAGTTTTTTCTAACATCACTGCGTATACATCTTATTCTAAAATTCTACGGAAGATCTACTTTCGATGCCATTAACGCAGAGCTATTCTTGTCTCTAAATCGAGTACTCTTCGTCGACACTACATGATATACCAAAAAACTTCAGATTAGAATAGAAAACTTTTCTCCTTTTGTTCATAGTTTACAAAAACAATAGAATGTTTGAAAGTGAAGCTCAGACAAAGGAAAAATGTGAGCTTTAAAGTTCTTTAGATGTTTCTCTTTTTGGTTAGACGTTTAATGTATCGAATAAATAGAAAAGGAACAAGAGAAAGCAGACATAAAAAGAAATATCATAACTCTTGATAATCTCTCATGATATGATCGAGTTAAAAAATACTATTCAGCACGTGATAAGAACCGTCTGTACTAATATGCCTTCTTAGTAGATAATGATTGTGGCAGTGCACCGTTATATGGTTTGTTTTCAACTATTAATGACCAATAATTTATTAATGTTAAATATATTTTTGCTCGTACGTTAAATGTAGGCGTTTCAGTTTCATAGTGCGCATAACTTGGATGTGCTGTAAAGGTAACGAAGAACTCGCGACGATACGCACCAATGATACATTTCTCTACTGTAGCAGTCTTTTTAGTGTCAAATATATGTCCATCTAAACCTTTATTATGTGTACATGTGGCAGACAATTCTGGATTTGTAATATATAGACGGAACCTTGCTTTTGGCTGTTCGCCACAAATGATTAGATACTTCATAGTATTGTCAGATAATAAACTCTCCATATTTAGATTATAATAATTTGTCCATTGAGCTTTAGTAACATCAAATGACACTACACAAAACAAAATAAAAAATTTTCGTACATAGTTTGTATATAGCATGTTCACTTTCTTCTGGAAAAATCGATTTGGTCTTTCATCAGTTAGTACATAGCGGTCGATAAGTAAAAATTACGTACAAAGTGATGAAGATCTTATTTGATAAGCTTAGTTACTGCTCCTTCAAAAACTCACCCCACCCTCACCCTCAAATAATATCGATAATTGTTTTTGTTTAAATTTTAACTTATTTGTACACGGCTGTATAAAGGATAAATATTTGTCTAACCATACTTGATCAACATGAGTTAAATCAATTTCATTTACATGTTTATCAGAGAATATTAAATTATTTATTCGTGTACTCAAATTGAAGAATATTTCAATAATTTCTGTTGGTTGTAAGTAAAGAAAGATAAATAGAATAAGTTCATTGGGCAATAGTAATAATGTTGATGTTGAACATGAAGAAGACGATGATGCTACTGTTGTTGTTAAACCTTAAATTCGATTATTTTTTATAAATGAATTACATATTTTTCACAAAAGTGAGCATGATAAAAATTGAGATCAGGAGTCGAGGTGACATGCTGATTTCTTTCTTCCAATTAAATTCCTTTCTGTTGACGAAAAGGAATCCGATGCTCTAGACACGACTTTTCTCCGTACAAGAACTAAATTTTTTTACTTCTGATCCCCCCCCCAAACAAGTACAACCAAAAATCAATCCAAAGTGGTTGTGTTACCTTCAATCGCTTCGCTTAGAAAGATTAATGCTTTCTTGCACAAAAATGTCTTTTTGCAAGTTTTGGTTCTTTGATTCGTCATTTTTTTATATTGCTTTGCTTTCGTATGCTTCAGTGTTGCTTTGAATCAAAAGTTGATCAAATCAAATTTCTGCTCTCATTCGGCCAGATTGGCCACACACATGTCGCTAAAGACACGTCAGCAATACTTGACAAATCACTTAAGAGCCATTGTCTGGCAGAGTCAGACGGACCATATACGGATCATCTCAGATCGCGCTGAAATTTTTATCACAGATACCTACCTAAAGGTGAGGTTATAAAAACATTTTCACGCCTTTGCAATGCTCCCTTCGAGAGTTACAGATGCCACGAGGGAAGGCAGTTGCACATGAGAAAAATAGGACTTTTTCAATAAAAATTCTATATCACCCGAGCAATAAGTCAGATGAAGCTGAAACTTTTACCATATACACTATGGATGTTGGCCCACAGTGGGCATTTTTTGCTAGAGCAGGCGGACTTTAACTTTATGAGTGAACTAAAATTTCATGAACCATTTTGTTATAGGTTTTTCATGATCCTCTTTGTAATGGCATGAGAGTTGGGTTTTGAAAAAGTTTTCTAAGGAGTTTTCCAGAGATCCAGTCTCTAGAAAACCCTTCAGAAAACTTTCTCAATATTTAAAAACGATGCCACTGGAAAGAGCATTGTCGAAAACCTATAAGAAACATGTTTCGAGTCGTTCAGGTTACTTTATCTTGAAATTCAAATTTTCAGC